AAAGGTTAATTTGGTGTTTGCATGAGAGTTAGTGTCGGGTTATTTTTTCAGAAAAAAGGGAGAGATATATATGTATAACTGAAAAACTGTCTCATTCTTTGGCTCCTAGGATGCCAACCCGAAGAAAGTTCCTGGGGTCCCAACTATACCTTTTTTTTTCCCTCATGCATGGCATCTATTTTTCATCCCCAGATTTATTCTTTCTATGGATTTTACGTTTTATTTAATTTTAAAGTACATCCAAGCATATAACTTTCTTTAATATATTCTCACAAACACTATTTTTATGATTTTGTCATTTCTTTTTGTGCAAAAAGGAGAACCATTTTTCAGTTTAGGAAGATATAACAATTTAGAAATATTTCCCTTTGATTTACAATAACGTACACTCAGATATAGTACACAGGCGGGTGTTAATTAATAACTTCATATTTAATAATTAAAAAATGAAATTAAAGTTTCTACTTATTTATTTTCAATATTTCTGTTATTCATATTTAAAATTATATCTGTGACATGTAGGACTTGCTTCTTCTTATTAAAAACATATATTTAAACTTATATTATATAATAATATATTAAATTTGTTTGAAAATATAGAAGCATTAGAAGTTTGACATAGCTCTGAAAATTTCCATTTAGGATATAAAATCTGTAGCTTTAAGTGATGTTTGATAAAACTAGATGATAAGTTAGCTTTATATATAAGTGATTTTTGAGTTTATTACTTATAGCTGAAAGGCTAACTTATATGATAAAAATATTTGGTAAAATTAGTTGATAAGCTAGCTGAAATAAAAAATTTCAACGAGCTTATTTAAAAAACTACCTACATAAGCTTATGAAATAAATTCGATCTTTTTTAAAAAATTTATACTGTTAAACCGAGCTTATTTGAATACAAGAAGACAACCAAATAAACTATAAGTTAATAGATTTGGTCACCAAACATAGTCGGCAAAAATTCAATTTTGGTCCGCTAATTTGTCCATTGTCTACTTTTGTTACACTATCTTTTCCCTCATAAAAAATAGTCCATTATGTTACATTTTTCATCAGTTTTAGTACGCTACTCCTGTTGGCGTGATTATCAGATGACGTGGACCGGGATTGGAACTACGTGGAGGGATAAGATATTGACGTGGTAGGATAAAAACTTGATTTGATATCTTGTAATCCCGGACCGTGGGATTAGTGTACTAAAACTGATAAAAAGTGTAACATAATGAACTCTTTTTGATGAGGGGAAAGATAGTGTACCAAAAATGGGCAATGGACAAGTTAGCGGACTAAAATTGAATTTTTGCCAAACATAGTCATAATATGATACCGTGGACTAGTCCATCTCTCAATGCCAACATTTTTGAAGGGAAAGTGAGCAATGGAAACAATCCAATCAATAGATCATTGGAAAAGCAAAAAGGAGACAAAAGTGGGAAAGGATACNCAAATGCTTAGAACATAACTCTCCTTTAATTAGCATATATATAATTAATATTAATCACGTAATTAAGGCATATTTTTTTAAAACAATTAACGGTCATCATATTAGTTACTCACTTTGTAACGGTATATCAATTCATATGCATGCATGCGTTTGAGAGTGCAAAATGGAGATTTAATTACCTGTTTAATAATCTCAGTTGAGGTGCAGCCCATTATGAGTTCTTCAAGTCCAGATCCAGTTGACGATGATGCCTTATTATTATTATGATGTACATCTGCCTCTTCTTGCTGCTGCTGTTGACGCCGAAAGATAATTACAATAATAACCATTTATTATTTATTTATTTATTTATTTGCTTTCTTATTATTTATGTACAGCAATTTATCTAACTATATCTAGACATCATCATCATGTATATCATCATGGATTGTCTGCTGGAATTGTAAAGCGGAACATTCCTTAATTAATTATTATTATTGTTATTATTACTTGTGACCACTGTATATATTTCTAGCTGGTCGCTACATGTTGATGCACTAAAGATCTAAATATTAATGGAATAGAGACAAAACCCACTGACATTTCTCTTCACGCTCATTTAATTTATTATTTTAATTATTTGCTCGAGTTTAAGCCATCTTTTTTTTTTTGGAGTTTAAGCCATCTTAATCTCGCCTTAACTGCATGTAGCTACATTTGCTATATATATACTCCCTCCTTTTTTAAATAGATGTCGTTTTGACTTTTTTGATTCATCCATTAGACATATTTATGTCTAGATACGTAGCAAAATGGATGAATCAAAAAAGTCAAAACGACATCTATTTAAAAAAGGAGGTAGTATTTTTTATTGTACGGAGGAGGAGAAAGCCTTAAACGACCACATTTTTTTTAAAAAAAAGTTATGTATGCCTTCAATTATGATTGATTAATTGTTATGTTTGACTAGCTAGTCAAACATAAACTAATTGGAATCATTTTACTGGTGAAATATTGCAATATTCTGCCCAGAACCAATAATATGATAAATAATAAATCATGTTAATTTGAAAAAAAAAAAATTATGTAGCTTACACATTTGATTATTTATTTAATTCTTGTTGATTGAAGAACCTTGTACTACCAAATTATCGCCATCTGCAACAGCGGAATAATTCAAGCTTTTACTAAACTCTATGAGACTTAACCATTCAAAGTCACTCTCTCTATTGTGGTAACGATACAAATGCAAAAAAAATAATTAAAAAAAAATAATATGGTAAGTGGATTTTATGTACCTGGAAATTGGGGTTAGGGAAGATGATCCTAGGCACATGATGATGAAAGGGGTCAATAATATGGTCAATGGCCGGTGGTATAATGCCAATGGCAGAGACAGTAGGCGTGCTGACGTGGAATGCTGAATTATGATGATGATGGTGATGATGTGTCATCTCACGCTCTTGGCACGTGCCAGATTGTTCTCCCATTTCTTTTCTCATCACATTCATTGAGATTGAGCCCTCCCCAACAATATTGTTCCCTCTCTCACCACTCATCTCCTGCTGCTGCAAAATATAATATAAATAAATAAAAATTAAATATATATCACCACCTTCAAAATGTGTTTTTTGTTTTTAGTTGTAAAAAGACGCCACGTCATATTTAAATTAATTCGGTTCAGGTGGGTGAACTAACTATACCATATACCACTACCAAGCCTGCAGAGAGTTATGTGCTTTAATTAATGAATTAATTAATGCAGGCCTGTTGTTATTATCAAGAATGTCCGCTATGATTTTCATACTTTTGTCATAAGCAATCGGAATGTGGGGAATTCAGCTGTTCTTTTCTTCCATTTTGTATCATGCAATATACCTTTAACTAAATAACCAGATTGAGACCCTTTATTAT